GTAGGGAAACTGTTACTTTCTCCTTTCCTAACCACCAAAGAGCTGCTTTTTTTCAAGAGGCCTGTGGTCACTGCCCTCTGCTCTGCCCCAACATTTTGACAAGTGCAAAGAAGCACGGATGGTTTTCCTGGGAGGATGCTTCTGTATTTTAACATGTGGTGTATGGTCGTTGTTTGTTGTTGTTGTTTTGTTTTAATCTATGACCCTATTGGAATTCCAGCTAATAAAGATTGTACAACTCCTTCATGATCTATAAATGTATTACTGTGTTTTGCCCTTTAGGCTTAGATTGGGACAGCATTTCAGAATGCGTAGAATGGATGGTTCCTTTTGCAAGCGTCACAAGAAAAGTCCCTGTGAAACTGAAGAATTTTAAGAAGGTTGCAGTAGAAGATCGGCATAATATCCAAACACACACAAGTTACTTGGACATGCTGGTATGTGGTTTGTGTATTGGCAATTCAGGCATTTGACAGTGCATCGTACACTGCTTCCGATTTAGATCATCGTCAGGCACCAGTGAAAAGCAAAAGGCTAGGGGCCACTGACTGCAGTAAGCTCAGGTGTGGTGGCTCAGGTGAGCGAGGCCAGGTGCTGGCAGGTAAGGCTTTGCCCAGCCTTAAGTGTCTTGGGAGAAATGATGCACTTGAACACTCACAAGTCATAAGCAGAGACTTGGAAAAGAATTACAGGGGGAGTGGTTAAAAGATGGTGTAACTCTGTCGCATAACACCCCTTCTAGTTTTGTAGTCGGTTCCTAAACTAAGGAGTACTTGAATTGTACTGGCTGTATGAGAGCTTCTGAAAGGCTTGTAAACTAAAAAGTAGAGATTGGTACTATGTGTTAAACTGTTGTCTTCCTCCTCTCCTACAGGAAGAAGTTAATAGTGGAGTAGCATCTACAGCCCCAGGTCAGTTATCTCCAGTGTCTACAGCAGGAATAATAACACCTCCCCACAGTACAGAGAAGAAATGAAAACTGAGCAAATACCATTGTGAACAGTTCCAGAAGCAGGACTTGGTGCTTCAGAGCAAGACTGTACTGAAGCTGACTCCCTCTAATGCTCTGTACTGCTATTCAAGACTGGGGCAGTAAAAGACATGTTATACTGAGCAGTGGATGGAAATTAAAGACCTCCTCCTACAGACTTGACAAAAGAATTTTAAGGCCAATTGTCCTTTTCTGTGTTAATGCAGGAAGCTGGACTATTCCAGTCCATTCTCAAACAGGACTAGTTCAACTCCGAACATTCCTAATTTAAATTATGAATTATGGATTTCAAGAACTTGTTTTGAAATGGCTGAGTGGCAAAGCTTGTCCACTCAACTCACATATCACACTTGCTTTAATTTGGGATAGCCAGACAGAGAGTGAGAACTTGATGACAGTTTGTACATATTACCTATTCTTGACTCTTTTCTTTTCTTGGTATGGTCAGAGCTTGATTTCTAAACTTAGTCACCCTATGAGCTCAGGTGGAAGATTACAGAGGTCAGTGGTTAAGCAGTTTACTCTTCTAAAACCACTCTGCCACTGCATTAACATGGAGCCAGTCCTGGATCAAATTCTAGCTCTGCATGGGGCTGATGAATTTAAGATGGCTCTAGGGCTGTTGTAAACATATTCTTAAAGTGTATCACTGACCTCAGGTAATAAGAGTACAACTAAAGAACGTGCTGCTGAAGTAACCTTAACTGGAAGAAGTACAGTCCTTGAAGGAGTTATTTGACAAGATCCATCCAACCCTCAACTTTCAAAAGACAGAAACAGCTAGAACTGGAGAGGGTATGGGGAAGAAAAAAAAAAATCTGAATTGCAGGTACTCTACAACCACTCAAGTAGTATGAACAGTATTTTTAAAAGCAACTGTGGAGCTTTATTTTTATCAGTGTTTATAAGCAGCATTAACTACTGTGTTTTCCTCAGAACACTCACTACCTCTGCCTATGAGGTGCTTAACTTCTGCTGAAGGGATAGTACTGAGAAAGAGCGATGTCATTCCTTCTCCCTTTTTCAAGACGCTCCTACTTGTGCCTCCCTTCTAGCAGTAACAATTTTGTATGAGGTGGAGCAGTTCATGAAACTGTACTTGAGCTTCAAATGACACCAGTGTCCTTTTTTTTTATGTTGTCTTAAATTTGAGCTCTTTCC